TGTTGTGATCAAAATTTAATTCGGTGCTGTAGCAGACAAGTGTGCTACTGTTAGGCCTTTCTGTGTGGCAGGATGTGAGAGAGCAGTGCGTTTGCCCATTGCTGTTACCTTCTTTGGTATTGGGGATGGTTTCAGTGAAAAGACAGTAAGTGCTATTTATGCCTTCCTGGACATGCATGCCTTACTTGCAGATTATATTTCTTTTGTCTTGCCATCTTTCTCCTGAGCTGTATGGTTATGGTAGAGTTGGGGAACTTTTGTCCTAATCCCTCCTCCCCTTCCAACTCTCAGCTTTGGATATGCCAGTTGGGGCAGATGTCTAAGTTGGTTTGTGCTCACCTGTGCTTTCTTGATTTACTTTTCAAATACTGGTTAAGCCAACACAGTAAGTTGTATTTCAGCTTTCTTGTCACATGTGAATAATTTTGTCATTAATTCCTAGAGCCTGGCCCTCGTTTCTTCAGTGGCACGTGCCTGGGTTGTGTAGGTGTAATACCTCCAGGCACAGGGGGAGAGGCTGTCCTAAGTTGTTGGGTCTTGGTACTTAACAGGCTCCACTCTGAATCCTTATTTGACTTTCAGCAAAGCATGCAAGTTGGTGCCCTTCACCGTCTCCAAGCTCGTTAATAATGTGAGCTGGACACAGGCGTGAAGGAAAAGTCCATCTCAGAACGGATCCCTGCTGGGAAAGCCAGGCTGTGAGCAGCTCTGCATTTAACAAAGCTAATGGAAATTTCCAGGGAGGGCTTAGAGAGCTTAGTGACAGCCATAAAAAGGAAGAAAATAGGAACTTGACTAAGTGGACTTCACTGTCCATGACTGACGCAGTGTGGAGAATTGCAATTTTTCACCCTGAAGCCCTGGGCAACAAATGTCCTCCTTACTGCATCCACATCCAAGTGGCAACATGCTCCATCCTACACAGATCTTCTACCTTATGCCTTGGAAAATGTAAAGTGCTTCCAGCATTTCCATGTCTAGAGTTTGATGGAGCAAAAGTTAAATGCTTACATTACCTGAAAAATATTCATTTCTCCAGTGTAAGCTCTGCTTCTGTGAAATGAATAGTCAGGCCTTGATTTGCAAATCTCCTGGGAAACGTACTGTGAAAGTCTTGCTAATTTACAAAATTCAAACAATATTTTGCAATGGGAGTTAAAAAACCTTTAGGCTTTCTGAAAAGGGAGATTGCACTGTTTTAAATAGGTGTGGTTAAGCCAGCGCAAATCTTTAAGCTTAATTGAAAATCTGATTTTAAACCTAAGTAATTGTGGTTGTGACACACATCTTTGTTGTGTGCTTAAGTTGGTTTAAGGTGTGATTATGTGATCACGTTTCTAATGCAGGCATGGTCTTAAAACTGGCATTTAACCCACACAAGAGCAGCATTGCTTAGATGAAGTCTTTGTTAAGAAGGGAAGTGATGATGAAGTTCCTTCTGTTAAGTTCAGATATTTGCTTTCCTCACTGTACCTTGATGCAGTCTGAAACATCTCTCCTGTAGCCTCAGTCAACCATCCAAAGGCTGGAAAACCTAATTGGATGTAAGCTCGATACTGGTCTTAGGACTGTGGAGAAGCTTCTTGTGGGTTCCAGGTCAGAGAGGCGCAGATGCTTGCACAAGGAACAGAGATTGCGGTGAGGGCTTTATCATCTGAAGCCTTTTGCAAGAAATGGAGCTGGGAGATGGGTAAGTTGGTTAGCTGGCTAAGGGCAGGGTCTGCTGAAAGGTAGCAGTGAGGATGCTGGCTGCTGCAGCATGGAGTGCCAGCTGTTTATGCTGAGACGCTTTTTTGGCCCTGCAAGGAGACAAGCATAGACCAGACTAAAAAGCCAGGTTAGAGTGGTGATGAGAATGTTGAACTCCCATCGTGGCCAAGTCTAGTGACCTTGGCTTAAGCCTTTTGATCGGTGTTCCCAGAGTCAGCAGTGGGAGTAGTGGTACCAGCTGCTACAGGTCCTCCTTCTGGGAAAGGAAAGTCCTCAATTTTCTGGCAGTAAATGAGTAGCTAATAGGACCCTGGCAGTGAATCTCAGTTGATAAATGGCAGCATTTAAAACCAATATGCAAAGTCATGTATTAAATGGAATGGCTATTGATTTCACCATCCAGGGAAAGGTGCAAATTGACCAGGGAAAGGTGCATGGAGTTAGAACGGATTTTCCCATCCAGCAGACCAACTCTACACTAGTGAGCCTCTGCAGAATAGGTGGGAGCAGGGATGGAAATTATTAACCTGGTGTACTACGTGTCAGTTTGGTACCATGAGGTTTTTGTAGAAGTGAGATGAATCAGACTTTAAGAAGTGTGTGTTCAGGGGCTGAGCTTTCCGTGTAGTACAGGAACACAGTGTTGGGGGTGAGAGAAGAAACGCAGTATTGCCAACTCACATTTTGGCTTAGGGAAAGCTTCACAGTCTTCTGGTTTCTTGTCTTTGGAGCTGGCAAGCTGGCAAGACAAGTAGGGCACACGGAGCACCTTGGCGAGGAACACTAGTTGTGTAGGTGGCAGTGGGGACTATGCCTGTACTTCGGAAAGCATCAAGAAGTGTGGACAGCGGGGGAGAAGGGGATGGGTCACTTTAGCTCTGTTGTGTAATAGCTGCAGATACCAAGCAAACGAGACTTTTCATGGAAATTTTGACTACCAGGTCAGAAAGTCTCGCTTGCCTAGGGAGCATGCCGCTTTGCAGACAGCAGAGCGTGACGGCTAGGTCTCGGTATATTAGAGCAGCCAGAGGCACTGGCACGGTTTTAGTGACAGGTTACCATCTGTCAATAAACTCCGCAACCCGTGTAAATCGGCATCTCCCTGGCAGCTGCTTTCATGGGGTATAATGCAGTGCATGGCTAGCTCAGCACTAAAAAAATAGTGATGACTGATTGCTTCCTGTAAACTCCATGCGTGGTTTTGTTGACCTAATTTTTCTCCAGCTTTCGCCCTCGGTCATGACCTGGGGTGCTGTCACTGCAGCAGCTTTGCCTCAGGCCCCCGGCGCACGCAGCTCTCCCACTGCAGCATGTCTGACCTGCAGCATTCTCTGCGCTGGGGTTCTTGCCAGTTCTGTTGAGGCATCTTATTACAGGGACAACAGCTTTTGTGTGCACATAGAACACCATGTTTGTGTCTGAGCCATAACCAGGTACCAACTACTTGGCCTGAATCCTTCCTTCAGATTATGGGACGACCTTCAGTTCATGCTCTGAGACTGCCTGCAGTGCGGTGCAACTCCAGCTCTTCAGACACAATTTATTTCTTTCTCCACAGGACTTTTTTTTTGTTTGTTTTTACACGCTTTGTGGTGACCACAGCACTGTTAAACTTTCTACCTAGCACCGTCAGGTGTCTGCAGTCCAGCCACCATGTGCTGGGATACAGCACCGTTTCAAACCCCCCAGGCCAGCTTACAGGGAGCTGGTGTGTCAGCATGGGGTGGCAAAACACTGTACAGAAGGTCTCTTCTGTGGAAATGCACCACAGTGCTTCTGGAGGTGGGACGCAGCAGTAGGTGGGAGCGTCTATACCGGCTTGGACTGCCCAGTGTGTGCCTGTCCTCTGATATTTCTGTACGGCACGGAGTAAGCTGGATTCACTCTTACTCTCTTCCAGTCCAAGAGCCATCGGGCCTTAGAAATAGTGGGAGATGCACTTTACAGCATTATAGTTATGGTGGTTTAGTTTCTGTGATCTCCCGTAGTCTTCAGCAGTGATGTGCTCATTTGCTATGCATTATTCACCTTCCCTGATCCTGTGAGTGATTAGCCAGCCCTGGCTTTGTGTACCTTTTTGGGAAATGCACTGTGAAAGGTTGCCAGAGCATTGGCTGTTTTGTTAAACTTTGTAGCGTTAGGTGTAAAATTCAAGTTCTGGGTTTTTCCGGACACACGTGTAGATCCAGTACAAATTCTTTTGTGGAAACTTACTGAAATATCCTTTGTGTCTGCCCTTGCTCCACAGTGAGAGGGTTGTGGTTTATCCCTAGCTGGCAACTAAGCACCACGCAGCTGCTCACTTGCCTCCCCCCCAGGTGGGATGAGGGAGAGAATTGGAAAAAAAACCCAAACTTGTGGGTAGAGATAAAGCAGTTGAATAGGACAGCAAGGGAAGAGGAAATTAATAATAATAATACTGATAAAGGATCATAACCAAATGATGCTCAATGTGACAGTTGTTCACCACCCCGGTGATTGATAGCCCATTCCCAAGTAGCGATTCTCTCCCCCTGGCCAACTCCAGTTTTATATACTGAGCATGACATGACATGGTAGGGAATATCCTTTTGCCCAGTCTGGGTCAGCTGTCCCGGCTATGCCCCATCCCGGCTTCTAGTGCACCTCCTCGCTGGCAGAGCATGGGAAGCTGAAAAGTCCTTGACTTAGCATAAGCAATACAACTACTTAGCAACAACTGAAAACATCAGTGTGTTAGCAACATTATTCTCCTACTAAATCCAAAACAGAGCATTATACCAGCTATTAGGAAGAAAAATAGCTCTGTCCCAGCCGAAACCGGGACAGCTGTATAGAGATTTATTTATAGGTAGAACGAGAACCATTTGCGAAGAAACTAAATGTCGGATAAGAGCAGTGTTTTACTTAGCATTGCCTAGTGCAGGAAATGTTGGCAGGCACCACAGGGAGAATTGGCCTTCCCATTCCAATTCTTTGTTTAGTCACTTGGAGTTAGGGTAACCTGATTTTATACACACAGTTGTAAGTCTTCATTTCCTGAAAATCTCTCTGCTCCTGTTGCTGTGCCTCAGTGCTAATACTGTATTGAAATAAATGGAATATTCCAGAGCAGTCTGGGTAATGCCAGTGCTCCACATTTTCAAGGTTCTGTGACGATGAGCCCTTTTAACAAAAATGTGGACTGAGCTAGATCTGCAGTTTTGTAGGGCAGGAATCAACACTGTTCTTCGTGTTGTGGGAACGTAATGTGAGCTGGCTGGAATAGTGTCCTGTCGTGCTAATATTTTTTCCTTCTTTGGTGTTTGAAGGGCCTTAAACTCTGGTGTTGAGTACCACTGGGACCAGCTGAATGAGAACGTCTTCACCGTGCATTCCAACAGCAGGAGCACTGAGCGGCCTGGGTGAGTCTGAGTGTGGGTTAGAGAGACCTCACCCTTCCTGCTGTTGTTACCACCTCTGACAGTACCACTTCTTTGTTCCCTTACCTGGCAGCTTTAAGTATGCATTTCCCCTCACACCCACCCTTTGACATGCCTCGTTGGGTCAACCTGGCCTGCTGCTTCCAGTAAGTGACATTCAGTGCCCAAAGTGCTGCCAGTGACAGTGAAGTACATGTGTCATGCCATTGCCTCAGTAACATCTGTGAGCCCGCTGCGGGAGGAACATGTGGGGCCTGATGCATCAAAAACATCATGCTAAGTCAACAGCCTTTGGAGGATAACTGAAGAACGGAGTTTGAGAGATGAGTGCAAATCCATTGGGTGGTCCTGGTGACTGACTTTCATCCCTTTAGTTTCTGGTCATGGGACAGTTGTTTCTCAGCAATAAACTCTAAAAATAAAGCTAAATCCCTTGATAGCCTTATTGGCTGCTTCATCCAGTCTGTCTGGTGATGCACACAGTAGTTACTCTAAACACAAGGGTGATGCTGCAGTCCCTTGCTTCTCGCCCCAGTGGCGAGTACTTCTCCATGAGCCGGCTGTTCTCAGCACGAGGGTGACAGTCTTGTTTCTGAATTGAGAGCTCTAGGATCGCAAGGAAGTTGTGAGCTGGTGTAGAGTGCCAAGTCTGTGCTGTCCTACAGCCTTGGTCTGATTGAGGGTGAAAACTAGGCAGAAGAGATTCTTTACTCTGCCATGTGAGTGGGTATTGACACTACTCATGTTTTTGACAGCACTTCTCAGTCTTGCATGATAGGCTTAAGAGCAGCTTGAAGGCAGAAAAACTAGCTCAAAGAGAGAGCAAGAAAAGTGTGTCAGGATTCAAAACCTTCTGAAAAAAAGGTTGTGAATGGGACAGCCTTTCCTAGAATCTCTTTACCATTCCCAGCACTTAGAGCCAGAGGTCAGTTTTGGAAAGAGCGTCCAAACGTTGTCAAGATTCAGCTCTTGTAGCGTCATGCACTTCAACTGTTTGATTCTGAGAAGCTAATGAACCTTGAGGGTGGTTCCTGTTGTTTGCTTTTGAGAACAGAGAATTTCTCTTGTCTGACTGGAACGGGCAGAAATGCCTGCTGGAGTGCATTCATGTGTGATGCTGACAAACTAGGAGGTCCAGAGGAGTCCTTGGGAGTTAAAACCACCCTGCTGACGAGCAGAGGGAGGTTGTGTGTGTGTGTTCATGGTCTTGCGCTGCATGTTGTGTTGCCTACTCAACTCGGTGACCTCGAGACAGAGTTGTTCTGCAGGCACAGTGATGCTGCAGGGATATCTCTCTATGCCTGTCAGACATGCTGCTTCTGTGGAAGGGTGAGTGGACTGCAAGACTCTGTTGGCTTGAAACTCAAGAGACCAGCCAGATGGGGCTGGAGAGGGGTGTCTGTGTGTGTGTAAATAAGAGCAGGTCACAGTTCCCTCCAGCCCCGTCTGCACCATGGCTAGCAGGTGCCTGGTCGGAGTGGAGGCAAGAAGAGGCTCCGGTGGATGCTGCAATCTTGCTGGGGCACATTGCCTCCAGTGCTCCTGGTCTTACTTGTTTTTCTCTCTTTTCAGAACCAGCAGAGCCACATGGAGGACAGACAGGGACATGGGCCTGATGAATGCCATAGGCCTGCAACCCCGAAACCCCCCCACCTCTGTGACTTCACAGGGTACCCAGACCTTGGCGCCTCAGCTGCAGAGAGGGAGGTGCAGGAGCAGGAATCCGCCTCTGCAGGGACTGGGGAAGGTAGGAACTCAAGCAATGATTTATCTGACAGCTTAAGTGGTGAATGAGGAGGTTCCACATCCTATCAATGCATTTGGACGCTCCTGTTATCTCTTCAACGAGAATTTCTCCAGCATAATTTGCCTGTAGCCAGGCCAAGATGCTGAGTGTGAATCTCTGTCCATATGAATAGAGAAGTTCTCTTTCGCATGATTTTAGAGGGCAAAATGAACTGTTCTTGAGATCATTGTGTCTTTGTAAAATCAGCTGTACTGGCATCACTGCACACAAATCTCCTGAACTCTAACCATCAGTGCAGCTGCAAACTCCTAAGAATTACCCTTTCTCCTTCTGTGTTAAGAGTTTAGCTTGGTCCTTCAACCTCTGCATCTAAAAACTGTGCAGGCTTCACAAGCTCAGCATCTGGATACAAAATAAACGACTATAAATCACTTCTCACACAGCAGGTGTGAGTATTCTGTGTAGACTGATCAGTGAAGGCTGTGATGAGTGTCCAGCTTAGCTATTCAAAAATATCTCTAGTGTTTTCCAGTTCAGGAAAACTTACCAAGATGTAAAGAGCTGGAAGCAGCTGATGTGCAATTCCTATATGATGATCAAGTCACTAATCCCTTGAAAGCATGATCGTTTTGTCCAGGATTCTTGTCTCTGTACTGTAGTACTGTGCTTGAATCCAACTCTGAAAGCTTGGCTAGGAAGGAATTGGGCAGTATCTACATAAGAAAGGCAGGGAAAAAATCAAGGAGACAGTTTTGAAGTTGTTGGTTCATGATGAACCCGCTTGGCTTTGGGAAGCACCCTGTGACGTGCCTGTTTGTGCCTGTATGCTTGCTTGTGTTCTCTCACTCTGAAAGGTGCTTTTTGGCATATGACTCTTCCACAGTGTCTGCTGTGCAGCATCCAGCATGTGTAATAAGGTTTTGTGTTTCTCTGATCTCTGCACTGCTGTTCAAAGTTAAGTGGCAAATTCCTGACCTGTGGGCTTTCCCATCTGCTTATCTCGGCGAAGCTGAGATTAACCTCTCTGGAAGGTTAGTACAGTTGAGGGCATGTGAATAAGGCTGGAATGTAGGATGTCTGGACAAATGCCGAATTTGTGGGAACTGGTTCTTCCACTGAGTGTGGTATGCAGGCTGAGAACAGGGTACACTGTGGGACCTCCTTGCATCGAGGGCATGGTGGCTAATGCTGCAGGCCTGGGGATCTTTCTCTGCTCTGTTAAACCAGTGGAGTTGTCCACTGCTGCTTCTCTCTGCTGCTGTTCTGCAATCATAGGAAGGTTTCGTTATCTCGCTCTTTCCAATTAACCTTTCAGTTTTCAGATCTAGATCATGGTTTTTAACTAGACCATTAATGAGATGGTGAAGGGTTGTCCTTTACCGGTGTCTTGGGCAGGATATTTCTACAGAGAGGCAAAACATGTTAGCATTTGGAAAAAAAGGAGTGTAGATAACAAACCTAGGACAGACACTTCTCTTTGTCTCCCTTTCTTGCTTGGAAGAAGATTGTCAAGACTGTCACATCTGGTGTGATTTCTGACTCTCATGCAGACCTATCACAAGTGGCCTCTCCTGCAAAATGGGCTATCGCACTTCTGTCTCCTATATAGGGATCTTTAAAATGAAGGAGTTCTTTATTCCAGGATGGATGCATGCACTGGAGATGAGCCAAGCGTTCTTACCCTACAGTTGTTCAGTCCTTACGGCAGTTCATCCGCAGTGGAAATTCCTGTGCAAAGGCTCAAGAGCAGCTCAGCACAGGAAGCTGTTGAGTAACTCAACTGCAGTCCATGACTGAGGACTAGCACAAGGACCTATCATGAAGCAGAGAGACTGCGTTTTCAGCTGCTGTTAACAACTCCACCAGTTAGCCAGGGACTTGTGGCATCAGTGGTCTGGTTCATCCAAGAGTCTTTGTGCTCCATAATACTCTTGAGCCCTGTTGTGCTGCTTGTGACATTAAGGTTCCTGGTTTCCCAGCATCATAAACTCTTGTGATGCACATCCAGTGTGTTCAGGCAGGCTACATTAGATGCTGTGCTGCTTTTCTGATGGTTAATTTGTCCACTCTATCTACCAAAACCCTTTGCCTGTTGAAAGGGAAACAAGTGTTTCCTAATACCAGGATCTACATGTCAGGGACATGAAGAGGAAAAAAAAGTGCTACCACTAGCTTGGTGTGTGACCTAGGGCAAACTATTAATCATCTACCAAATGGGAATAAATCTTCCCATAGTACAGTACACCAGGGGCTGTGAAGATTAATTAGTGTTTTGTATGGGGCTTTGAAGATGTAAATCACTACGTAAAGGCTTAGCAGTATTAGCAGCAGCAGAATGGATAAATCAGATGTGATTGAGTATTGTAAAGTATTTTAGTCATCACCTCATCATGAGGGGAGAAAAAAACCCTACCCAAAACAAAACCAGGAAAAAAACCCTTGAATGTTTTCGAAAAAAAGAAAAAGAAAAAGAAGGTCTAAGTATACCCCCAAGAGTGGGTTTCTGTCCTATGTCCTGTCAGCCCTGCTGTTGTGGGGAATTGTGGCTCAGGGCATTTCTTCCAGATATGTGCTTACTGTACCAAAAAAAAAAAAAAAAAGTATTCAGAATTGCATCAGAAATCTAATTAAGCTCTGTGCGGGTATAAATAGTTTCCTTTTCTCATGCAAAGCTCTGCGGGGACTTTGCTGTTCTGATTATCTTTCTACCTCCTTTGGAGGAGTGAGTATATGATGACTTTATTAGAAGTGAATCCCTCTAAAGTCTGTACCTTTTTGTTTTGCAGCAGTTGATAGCTGCCTTGTGAACTCTGCTCCCAAACCACACATAAACCAAAGGAAGTTAGAGTTGAGAGAAAACTGGAGAGAGGTACCAAGAAATGCCTAAAACACTGTTTCAGCTGTCTCCTGCTTTCTTTTAACCTGACAGACGTAGTGGAAATAGTGATGGAGTTACAAGTTTGAGGCACTCCTAATTAGAAACAATCTGTTGGGAGTTACACTATCTTTCCCGTGCAAATGGACAGGTGGGGTGAGGGGAGGGATCTGTATTCAACTGGCAAGTCAAATCTCACTTTAACAACCAACAGAAATTCCCAATGAGATTTAATGGCCCAAAGCTTTAACCTTTAGCAATTGTAATTCCCGGTGCAGACTGGCTCAGGCTGCGGCTGCCTCTTGTTCAGCCTGGTGGATCTGTGGAGTAGGGTGCAAGTAGCAGTAAACATCAGGGACTGTAACTGTGCAGGCTGAGGGAAAAGGACCTTTGCAGGGCTGCAGGACACTTGTTTGGTTGGGTGCCCGTGTTGTCCCCTGGCTATTGTCAGTACATCTTTCAGGTAATCCTGTTGTTTGTAAAGGAAAAAAAAATAACCCACATTCAAAAAAAACACTTGATGCAAATAACTGAAGGGCAGTTGGCATCCCAGTTTCTATCATCTGCATTGTCTTTGGGGCTTAAAATTCAGATAGCTAGCTCAGTGCTCACTGTGAAGGTCACCACATGTTATGAACTGCAGCAAGGGTAGCTGTGGGGAAGGCTTGCTGGCAGTGGCCTGCTACTTGGCCTGTCTTTGGCTGGAGCAGCATATTGGCTACTGTCAGGCCATGTGCAGTTTTTAACCTATTTGGTTGAAGTGTTTCTCACCAGCCAGTGCAAATTTCCAGCATGTCCAACTGCTTTCAGAGGTTGCAGCAGATGCTTTAGAGAGGGAACAGAGCTTGTAAAATGAAGGCTTGGGTTTGTGGGATTTGGTTTTTTCAAACTTGGTAGTGAAAAGGAGACAGCGTGTGCATGTGGAACTTCCCTGGTATAAGCAAAGCAACCTGGGGATGCCTAAGGAACACTTAGAAGCAGGGTCAGTGTGCCTGCATGTGATGTAACTCACTTCATGAGATATTCGGAACATGGCGGGGTGCAGGGGGGGGCGTGCATGAGCAGGAATACCCTGTCCCCAGCTGAACTTCATGAATGCTAAAAAGAAATGTGATGTTTTACGTTAGCTGAGTATGTTGTCAGTTGTGACGTGACTTCTGCATGATTAGTGTAGAAGAGGGAACTAGGACACCAGGGATCACCTTTTAGATCTGCATCTCGTTCTCCAAGTAGAAATGTGGGTAGATCCCTTAGCCCTTTCATCTGCCCATCCATCTGTAAAATGTGCATCATATGTCCCCTAGAACTGCAAATTTCAGTTTCTCTTTAAAACCCTCTGAAAAGCACTACCTAAAAAATAGAGCCAGGTTCTAGAAGAATGTACTACACAAGCCTTTACAGTGGGAGCTACGCCGAGTAGCTGGCTCTCTTAGGATTAAATTATGGGGCTGACTTTTAAACTCTCATTACAAAAATGAGTTTAGCTCATACAAATCACCAAGGTGAGATATTGCTAAGAAATTTGTTACAAGTCAAAGCAGTTGTGTCTTTTCTGAGTTCTGTGGAGTTGTTTGGATTAGCAATCTCGGAAAGGAAGTGTGAATATGCTTCTGATCTTGTCTGGGGAGAAAAATAACTGGTAGTATTTCTTCTGGCACTGAGCGATGTGATTATTCATAGCTGGTTATGCTGTGCTATGACCCTCCCTTTCCTATTCTTATGCAAGGCGTGAATTCATTTTAAAATGCTGATATTTTGATCTTTGAGCATCTGAATTAGTGGGTCAGCTCACACCTCAGAGCTATTATTCCATGGTCTCTGAAGACTTCAGTATCTCTGTGGTGCTTACTCTTAGTTCTAATTTTGAAGCCTTGTTTGAAAACGTGGCTACTAACTACTGCTGATTTTAGAAAGTAGGAAGAAAGAGCGATCTCAGTAAATCTCACAGCCACAGAGGAGCCTGATCCCATCCTTGCTTCCATGGGCTTTATCAGGTGTATGCTGTCCATGCCTAGGGATAAACAGGTTGAACTCCCCGTAAGTACTTCAGAGGCCGCTTCATTTAGGAGTGGAAATGCTCCTGCCTTATGCCCAGCTCCAGTGAAAGTTTGCCATATGTTTCGCCTTTCCAGTCTTCTGTGTCAGGCTCTTGTCTTGCTGGAGTAGCATGGCAGAGGACTTCTGAAAATGGATGCGTTAGCTAGGGAGTATTTTATTGCGTGTTGGAGCCAGTCAGCCAGATTGGCAGAAATCCCTTGGTCTTGGGGATAATTGCTCTCAAGAATGATGTTCTGTGTCTGTGTTTGGGATAGATGGGGTTTTGGACCTCTGAAAAGGTCACTTCAGTAGAAAAGGTTTGGAGGAACACAGCACTGTGGATACAACACTAATACTTCAGGTATTGTGGGAGGGAACCGTGGGTGGTGCTTTTCTGTCCTGTTAGGCACAGAACTTGTGTTCCTGTCTGGAAAAAGATGGGAGACTCTGTCTCAAGATTGCTTCCTACTCTATGATGGATTCTGACACCAGCACAGCCTAGGTGGAGGACAAATTGGCAGTTGTTATGCTTACACTAGTACTTCACATGCTGGAGATGGTTAGCTCTAGATTTCTAGATTTTTCTAGATTTTGTTTGTGGTGCTCTGTGAGGTATTTCCTATTTTTCTGACCCTAGAAGGTAGGCTTAGGAGGATGAGAGCTTAAGAGAAAGGATTTTACAGAGCGTGGGGGATCAGAATGTAGTTGTGAGCATAAAATGAGAGGAGTTACCTTCTCCATATGGAGAATTAGATGTGCTGTCACTTGGCCTGCTCCTGCACAAGCTCAGGTTCGTGCTCTGGATATGCCTAAACCCTGTGGAGTCTGAAAAAGCATGTCACGAGTATGGGGTTTCTCTCCGTCCGGGTTTTGGTGAGGTGGGGAAGGGGGCTTGGCCACTGCAGCAGGTTGAAACCTGTAGCAGCGCGAGGTGTGGGGTTTACGGCACTGCTGCTGTTTTGGGTGGGTGCCTGTGTGCACACTCTGAACCTCCACCCGATGGAAGTTAGCTTGCTGTACTCGCCCCGAGCACTCATGTAGTCTGCCTTGGCAGCCTGGTGCAAGAACGTGCGTGGGAGTCACCAGGCAGGGGAAACGGGCTCTGTGTGAATCTGCGCTGTAGCTCAGCTCAAGGCACGACGCACGGGAAGCTTTGCTCTGAACCAGGCAGCCAAAGGTACTGTTGAAACCCGAGGGGGGGAAGGGACAACCTCCAAAGCAGAGGTGCTTGTTGGCAGCTTGGACGGTGAGGCTCACTTCTGCCCTTGGTGGGCTGTCTTTCTGGACTGTCCAACACTCCTGTATCTCTGCACTCGTAATTGGAAGGCTTGTGACTTGTTGGTTTCTGCTGTGGCATCAGCCCTTGCCTGTTTTCTGAGCAAGCAGCTGCCTCAGCTGGAAATTCAGCTACGGCACATGGTAATTAAGGAGCAGGGAAGAGCAGGGGGTGCTGTGGTCTGCGATGCCTGCAGGGACTCCTCCGGTGAAGCACGTGTTGGTGATGCTGAGGAGCATTGGCTGGGGATCTTTGCTGATTTGCTCTCCCAATGCTCCTGTATTGGGGTAGTTTATATTAAGTGATCTGTCGAGAGCACAGTACCTGCTGTTTCAGGACTTGAGTAGATGGGGCTGGCTGGCCTGTCTCTGAGCCAGGCTGCACTTCTTGGCTTTCTCAGGCTTCCTCTCTGCCCTGGCCAGATGGTTGGTAACGAAGTGCTTATGACTATGCCCTCTGAAGGAGGGGATGACTGAATCCCAAACCATGCTTCTCAAACCTTCCACTTGCTCATGATTAATGCTTCAATATTCCCTGGCATGCATGTTTTTCACGCCAGTCTAATAGCTGCTTATGTTCTCACTCTTCATGCTGGTCAGCCAGGTTCCTAGTTCATGCATCAGCCGCATCCTGAACAGGATTCCTCTGCTAGAGTCGTGGGTCAGGTTCTGCCCAAGGGGCATTCCACCTTGTT